ATAATTATGAAACACGGCGTAACCAGGACTTTATTCCTGAATATCACAGACTGCATAGAACCAGAAAAGGAACTGACTACTATGGTATACATTTCTTTAATTGCTTGCCAGTGACCATAAGACTCCTTGAGGAGAGATTATTTTTCAAAAAAATCAAAGATTATTTGGTGAAGAAAGCCTTTTATTCAATTCAGGAATTCTTGGATAATAACTTCGATGACCTAATATGATTGTTTATATTATATTCAACTCAATGGAGAAAAAAAAAAGTTATTTTACTCATTTTATTTTTTAAACTGTAATTTTATAATTGTATGTATTCTTGTAAATTGTATTCTTGAATACACGATGTGTATTATTACCAATAAAATTGATTGATTGATATGGGGGAGTTCCCCAAGGACCCGTTCTTGGTCCAATTCTTTTCCTTATTTACATTAATGACCTTAGTAAGATCGATATACATGGAACCTTCACCATGTTTGCAGACGATACCACCATACTATGGCATGGAAGTGATATAGAAATTCTGAAAGAGCGTATCTTTCTAGACTTACAGAAAGTTAAAACCTGGTGTGACTCAAACTATCTTTGCTTCAACGTGAATAAAACCAAAATCCTGACCTTCAAGTTCGATTATGAAAATCTGACCTTGAATGAACAAATCATAAATAACAATACCAGCATAAAATTCTTAGGTATATATATTGATGATAAATTACGATTTGATGACCATGTAAGGATCATAAACGAAAACCTAGCCTCGGGCTGCTATGCTAGGCAGAATGGCTTACTTTTCTCTCATTGAATCACACTTAATGTGTGGCATTTCGTTCTGGGGTTTTTGCTGTTATCAGCTAATGAGCTCAGTATTTGTCTTACAAAAAATAGCTCTCAGATATTTATCAAAAGCTAAGTCCAGGGATCACTGTAAACCACTTTTTATAAAACATGGAATTCTGACCCTATACGGTATTTTTATCCTTAAGACAGTGTGCTTGTTGCATAAGAAAAAATCCAATATGACAATTGTAAGACCATATAATACTCGTCAAAAAGACGACTTACCCCTACGGCTACCAAAAACGACATTAACCAAACACTCTGTCTTATTTGAGAGTAAAAAACTCTTCAATCATCTGCCGAGTCAAGTAAAAAATATATCATGCCCGAGAATCTTTCGGAAAACCGTCAAAAGCATATTTTTAACTAAAGGATACTACAGCCTGCAGGAGTATTATAGTGACAGTATCTTGGGCTAACTGTAGCTTTTTGCATTTTATCTATAAGATTAAATTATCTGTATTCTATATTTATGTGTGATTTCATCGAAAGATGAAAAA